GGGGGGGATCCAGGCGGGGCCTCTGGCCATTCACAGGACCATGGCAGGTGTGGTCTTCTCCTTGGATGGGGAGGGAGGCACTGAATTCTCCCCCAGCAGCTTCTTCTCAGACTCTTCCTCACCCTAAAACAGACGGGGTGGGGAATTAGCCCTGGGGGAGAAAAGGGTGGGGCAGAGGCAGCCCCACAGAACTTGGAATCAAGAAAAGGAAAGGGAAGAAGGAAAAGGTGGCAGAGGAAGGGGTGCTGGACAAAGATCTAATACACAAAGGAAGGGAGGGGAGAAGTGACAGCAAAGGAGGGTGCGGAGAGGTGGGGGACCAGAGTTAACCCAGGTGACAATGATGGGTCCAATTCCCCAGACAGCCAAGGACAGAACCCAGCCCTGGGAAGAAGCTGAGGAAGGTGGAGCACAACTTCTGAGAAGCAGTGTTCCCCGCCCCATGAGCCCCCCTATTCCCAGGGCCTCACCAACCAGACCCACTCTGTCCCAGTGCCTCCCTGACAGCTCACCGTGGGCTGGGAGCTCTGGCCACACAAGCTTTGAAGACCCAGGCTGAGGGAAGCCAAGGATACAATGACCTGAAGGGCACAGACAGCCAGGAGCAGAATACGGATTCCTAGGAACAATTTCTGGAGATAAAGGAAGAAATAAGATAAGTGCCAGGCGTCCACTCCTCTGATTCTACTCTGACTACCACATCTTCCTCCCCCCACAAAGGAATCAGACTCTACCCAACTAACTACTTCCCACCAAAGCAGATCCCACCCCACCTGTGTGTGACCTTACCACCCGCTATGAAGAGGTGGGGTCTGTTTCTCCACCCCTTAGAATCTGGAAGGATCTGCAATCGTTCTGCCCAATAAAATACCATGGAAATGACACTATGCCAAGGATAGCCCTTAACAGCTTCCATTCCTGGAAGCTTCCACTCCTACCCCTTGGAGTGCTCACAGTGGGGTACTCTGAGTCAGAACCTAGTTGCCAGGCTATGAGAAGCCCAACCCATGTGGAAAAGCCATTGTAGGCTCTCTGCCTGCCAGGCTCAGCTGACCATGCAGCCAAGAGCCATCAATTGCCAGCCATGGGAGTGCACCAACTTGGATGTCCAGCCCAGACCAGCCATTGGATGACTTCATGCCCCAACTGACACAACTGCGGCTTCATGAGAAAACCCAAGTGAGGACCTGCCATGTGAGCCCACTCCACCAACAGACTGTGAGAGGTAATGATAAGCTATAGGTTTAAGCCACTACATTTGAGAGAGGTGTGTTATGCAGCAAAAGATAAACTGGAACACCCAGCCACCAGAAAAGACAGATGAGTGGTCTATGACATCCACTCTTAAGTGTCTCTGCTTTGCCCCTCATCTCCTTTGACTCAGGAAATCTTCATACCACGAGGGTCTGAGAATTGTCTTCAGCTTAAGTTAAAACTTGAGCCAAAGACGTAGGATGAGGTCCAATCCCAAAGAGCCTACATCTGTGCCCTCTAGTGCCCTGTTCCTTCTAAACAAATATTTGTGATGGGTCCCTGAAAAATGGGACTCCCCATTCTCACCCTCAGTAAGTGCATGGAGATTTTACACCTAGCCTTCTGCCACACTGAGTCAGTGTCTCTCTGCATCCATTGGTAATCCATGATTGTGGTGGCAGGGACTGGGAGGTCACACACGGAACTGAAGAGGTCATCGCTCTCCCAGATGATGCTGTTCACAGAGAAGACAACAGCAGCCACGCCCGTGGCAATGCCAGCCAAGGTAAGCAAACCTGACGCCCAGCCCTAAAAGAGAGAAGTTCTGGATGCAGACTCTGTTGTTGGCAGAGCCATGGGGTCCCGGCCTCAAACCTGTCTCCTCTTCCCCAGCTTCCTGGCCCAGGAAACCCTTCCTGCCCTCCAAGAAAGATCTCAGGATATTGGGACCCAAAGGGGAGAAGACAGAAAATGGGGCAGAAAACTTGAGACCTGGGAGGGGGCAGAGGAAAAGGTGGGGAAAACGGGTGCCCAACTCACTGAAAGCAAGCTCCGGTGCTTCTCATGGACAAGGGTTCCAACTCCTGCTGCAATAGCCTGGGAGAAGACACCACACAAGTCCTTCCAGTTACTCTTCTGGAATGATCTCCGACATCACCCTCTCCCAACAGTTCCCACAACTGCCAGTTTGAAACATGATCCAAAGGACAGGTCAAGAAGCCTAGCCTATGGACAGGATTCCATACAACTGCCCCACCCTTGCCTTAAAGAGGAAAAGGAAGAGTGGGAGGGTTTTGTTCACCCCCTAAGGCAGCTTCCTCTTGGCAAAGGGCATTTGGACTCCAGGTCATTGGTCTCTTCCCCAAAACTTTGGCCCAGACCCAAAGGAATTCTCTCCTGGCCCATAATCACTTGCCTCCCACTGAGCTCACAGCTTCTTCCTTACTCACCACAGATCCTGCCCAGAAGGCACAGCCTGAGCCACGCAGCTCGGTCCAGGGCCCAAAGTACAGAAGCACTCCAAAGGCACAGCTCACAGCCCCCAGTAATATCTGGGTCACCTGCAAGATAGGGTGAAAGATCAGACCCCTTCCCACAAGCCTACACACCCGGGAGCAGCCACCTAGCTCCTATCTAGGTGCCTTTCCTCTCCTTTTCCTCTGTCTTGACCTCTGCAGTTGTGAGTCTGGAAGATTCTGTTCCCTCAACATACATGAAGAGGCATGTCCTGGTTCTCCCTGATCCCTCTGACATGCCAGGCTTTTGTCCTTCATTACTCTTTCCTAAACACCACGCTCTGTCATCCCACTGGATGCTTCTCCTTTGGGAATCCCATCACCCTGTCCAGGATGGGTGGCAAAGATCCCCTTCAAGAGAGGAATGGCTGGCATGGATCAGCGGTGAGAGTGTCCACCTGCACACCACAAGTTTGATTCCCAGTCAAGGGCACCTACCGTACCTAGGTTGCAGATCGGATCCCCAGGCCTGGTCGGGGTGCGTGTAGGAGGCAACCAATCGATGTGTGTCTCTGTCACATTGATGTTTCTCTCTTTCTCTGCCTCTTTCTCTCTCTCCCCTCTCCCCCCTCCCTCCCACTATCTCTAAAAAATCAATGAGGGGGAAAAGAAGGGAGTGTGGTTGGTTCACAGCCTACAGGGGTCAGCTCCTTCAGGTCCCCTCATCTTCCTCCAAAGGCACAAACACAGCCAACGGCTAAGCAAGGAGGTGGTAAGGAGCCATTTCCACCTACCAGGGAACTGCAGTGGGCAGTCTTTAATGCCCAGCTCCCCACCAGGCTGGCAGAGACCTGTCAGACCTACATCATATCCTAATGTCTACCCCTGCTCAATCCTTGTCCCTCTCTTTTCCTGTCATAGGTGGTTAGATGCCAAAAAACTTTTTGCACACCTCACTCCAATTCATGTCTGCTTCCTGGAGAACCCAACTATCACCGCATCTTGGACATCACCACCTGCACGCTCTTCTTCCAGCATCTCAGAATCCTCCCATCCAAACCCCACACCCTACCCGCACTCCCGACACCTGCCTCTCCTGACTTCCAGGGCTCCGACACCCTGGTTACCCACACTGCAAGCCTCAGCATGTTCTTAGACTCCTCTCCTCCCAAACCCATTCACTCCCAAGTCGTGGGGGAATTCACAAAGGATCTGGACTCCTCTCTTTCCTTGTCATTTCTGCCATGACCACACAGGTGCAGACCCTCCATACCGTCTCCCTAGACAGCTCCTGGCTTGAGGCAGCCTGAAGCCTCCCAAGGACATCAACTGATCTACCTTTAATTCTAGGCACTTCTGTAGTTGCCTGATCCCTTCTGGTGGGTGCTGTGCACTTGTGGGTTATAAAACCTAGGGGTTCTCCCTGGAGTTTCCCCAAAGCGCCTATCATGTGGCCTTACCTGTAGGCACTCTGCCCACAGGGGTTCAATTAAAAGGAATGGACAGCTTCCAGGGATCTTCTGCCCATCCCCACCTCTGGCTGGGACTGCCCCGCTGCTTTCCACCCAAATGTCCGTGCAGAAACTTCCAAATCTTCTTTTCCCAAACAAGATGGGACACAAAGAGTGAGTCCTCATGGGGACTCGACCCACTTTCCTTTCTGGCCCCCTACTGAAGGAGGAGCTTTGCTGTCCTCATCACCTGGCCCACCCGCCTCTCCAGCCCCCTCTTACCCCTCCTGCCAGCAGCCCCTGGCTTATCCTGGCTGTGGGAGGGCCAGTGCCCCGAGGGCCAGCGAAGAGCTCCTTCAGGGAGCCCCCAGATTTCAGCAGTTGTGTCCAAACCGATTCCTGGTGGATGTGGATGTTGATGTGGGTGGGCTGGGACAGCGCAGAGGCCATGTCCGCCCCATTCACGGTCACCGTGTAGTGGGTCATCCTATCTGTTGGGGAGAAGACGTACAGAAATGAGGTCTGGGAACTGGGTGAGATAACGAGGGATACGTTGCATGAGGGAAAGGAGAGAAAACAGGCTCTTTGTCAAGATTCCAAGGGCCTTCCCAGTGCCAGGGTCAATGTCACAATGACCTTGATCTGGGCTGCAAACCCAAATCACCTCTAGAGTTCTTCACCATGTATGTTCCTGGGCATATCCCCAAAATGGTCTAACACATTGTGTCTAGGTCTTGGGTTGGACAAAGAAAGGAATCTGTATTATTTATTTCAGTGACTTAGCATGTACACCTGAGCCTTGAACAGCCTGGGTTTGAACTGCATGGATCCACTTATACATGGATTTTTTTCAATTAACCCTGTAAATGCATTTTCTCTTCCTTATGATTTCCTTATGATAGTAGAATGCTTCTGTGTATGTTTTCTAAGTGGTTTTAGGCTTTCAGTTTTCACATTTAAATACTGATCCATCAAGAATATTCCTTGTCAATTGGAAGACAGGGGTTGGGGTTTTTTGTTGTTTTTTTTCACATGGTTAACTTCTGAAGGGTGTGTTCTGCCTGTGGAATATATCATCTTTCCCCCAATGCTTTACAATGCTCCCCTGAGAACACACTTTTGGTTTCTACCAGAGGCTGTGTTTCCCTGACTGAGGACACCTGTTGGCACTGGATTGGTTGCTGTGGCCTTTTGTTGACACAGTGATGGGCACCCAGTTGCCTCTGACCTGCCGTTGTAATGAACATTGCAGGGACAGTGAAAACACTTAGGCTTTCTCTCCATTTCCTCCCAGCCAAGGCCCCAGTTATGTAAACATGATATAGCATAGTCATAACAGATGCCATGTTAGCTGACTAATGTCTAACCCATTCTTGGCTGAGAGCCACTATAACACTGGCTCCTATAACACTGGCTCAGGACTTTCCAGGCTGTGGTTTGTCCCCTGGAGTGTGGTTTTGTCCCCCATGTACGCCCAGCTGGCTGCCACTGGGAAAAGTGCAGTTTGTTTCTCGTGTACGTTCAGTCCCACCACAGGTTGAAGTAAAGACATGTCTCATCCTCCTTCAGCTCCCCAGTTTTTCTTTGGACTGTCTGGATCCAGTGTGAATCCTACCTCCATTCCTGCCTTGATTGTTGGCATTATAAACATCTTTATATGCCTGTCCCTTTTTGAACCTGGACTCAAGTTTCTCTGGGGAGTGTCCCTAGAGTGGATTAGTGGAGCATATTTATTTCTATTTTCTCTAGGTCCAGTCTGGATCAATTGCCCACCAAGTCACATAGCTTCTAATTAGCATCAAGAAGTCCTTTCGGATACTTGGGGGACTTCCAGTTAAGATGGTGGCATAGGTAAATACTGCACTTGCCTCCTTCCACGACCACATCAAAATTACAGCCAAACTACAGAACAACCATCATTCAGAACCACCTGAAGTCTAGCTGAATGTAAGTCCTATAACTAAGAATATACAGAAGAAGCCACATCGAGACTGGTAGGAGAGGCCGAGATGCAGAACAAGCTGGTCCTAAACCCACATGTGGCTGTTTAAAATTGAGAGAGATATCTTGGCTGTGGAAATCCCCGACATCAGGCCTCCCAGCCCAAGGTCAGATGCCAGGAAGAGAAGTCCCCATAACTTCTGGCTGTAAAAACCATCCAGGATTGAGGCTGAGGGAGACAGAGGCTGCTGGGGTCCCAGGCAGTTCCTCTTAAAGGACCCACACATGGACTTACTCAGACGTACTCTCTCTGAGCCCTAGCACCAGAGCAGCAGCTCAAAAAATGAGGGACATACAAGGAGGAACTGAATTATCTGTCTTCAGGGCAAGGGCTAAAGGGGCAGCTTTCTCCCAGACAGAAGTGCTGGCAGAGGCCATTGTTCCTTTTTTGAGACCCTCCACCTACCCACCCACAGAGCCAGCAGGTGGGCACCATATCTGAGTCTCCATCAATCTGGCTCACACTGTTCCCCTCACCCTGGTGATTCCCTGAGACCCTGCCCCACCCAACTTGAATGGCCTAGGTATACCCTGTATCTTTAATAAGCAACCCCAAGCCCAGCACTAGTGGTAGCCAGCTTAGGTTCATGTCTTGCCTCTCCCAGGCACCTCCAATCCCAGAAAAATCGGCAACCATCTGCAGATCACTTATAGGTAACTGACTGCTTTTCTCTTGCTGCTACTAAGATTCTCTCTTTGTCTTCAACCTTTGGCATTTTAATGATGATGTGTGTTGGTGTGGCCCTGGGCAGAGCAAAGGCAGCCAATGAGCTTGCCTGCACCAGAGACCCTCCCAAGAGGCCCCAGAACCAACAAACCTGGTGGCCAGCTTCAGAACACACCAGAGCACTACACAACCTCTTCCATAAATGACACACCAAAAGGGTGGATTCGGCAGGCACTGGAGCCTCACTAAAGCAAATCCTGCTCCATGAGGTCAGCCCCTGCACAACAGCTATAGTCATGGCCAGCCTTCATAGTCAATCAGCCTGAGGGTCAATCCCTCCCATTCACATCCCAACAGCAATCAAGGTTCAACTACAAAAGGAGGGCACACACAACCCACACAAGGGGTACTCCTGGAGCACCCAGCCCAAGCAACCAGAGAGACTACCCCACAGGGCCTCACAAGACACCTACTACATAAAGCCACTCTACCAACACCGGGAGACATAACAGCTCTACCTAATACATAGAAACAAACACAGGGAGGCAGCCAAAATGAGGAGACAAAGAAACATGTTCCAAAATGAAAGAATAAAACAAAACTTCAGAAAAATAACTAAACAAAATGAAGACAAGCAAGCTACCAGATACAGAGTTCAAAATACTGTTTATAAGGATGTTCAATGAACTTAGTAAGAGCTTTAACAAAGAGATATGAAACATTAAAAAAGGGGAGAGAAAACATTTTAAAAAAAGAATCAATCAGAAGTGAAAAATACAATAACTGTAATGAAGAATACATTAGAAATAGGGAATCAACAGTATATTAGATGAAGCAGAGGACCAAATCAGTGATTTGGAAGACAAGGTAGCAGAAAACACCCAATCAGAACAGAACAACAAAAAGGAAAAATAATTTTTTAAGATGAGGATAGTTTAAGGGACCTATGGACATCAAGTGTAACAACATTCACATCACAGGGGTATCAGAAGGAGAAAAGAGAGAGCAAGGGAGTGAGAATATATTTGAATAAATAATGACAGAAAACTTCCCTAACTTAATGGAGGAAATAGACATACAAGTCCAGGAAGTGCAGAGAGTCCAGACAAGATGAACCCAAAGAGGCCCATACCAACACACATCATCATTAAAATGCCGAAGTTGAATGAAGACAAAGAGTGAATCTTAAAAGCAGCAAGAGAAAAGCAGTTAGTTACCTGTAAGGGAGCTCCCATAAGACTGTTAGTTGATTTCTCAACAGAGACTTTGCAGGCAAGAAGGGATTGTTACAAAATATTCAGTGATAAAAAGCAAGGAACTATAACCAAGATTACTCTACCCAGTAAAGCTATCATTTAGAATTGAAAGAGAGATAAAGATCTTCCCAGACAAGAAAAAGCTTAAGGCGTTAATCACCACCAAACCAGTATTACAAGAAATCTTAAAGGAACTTCTTCAAAAAGAAGAAGAAAAAGATTAAAAATATGAATAATAAAATGGCAATAACTACATACCTATCAGTAATTACTTTAAATGTAAATGGATTAAAAATGGATAAAAAGACATAGGGTAGCTGAATGGATAAGAAAACAAGATCCATACCTATGCTGCCTACAAGAGACCCACTTCAGATTGAAAGACACACGCAAACTAAAAGTAAAGAGGTGAAAAAAGATATTTCATGTAAATGGAAATTTTAAAAAGCTGGAGTAGCAATATTTATATTAAATAAAATAGACTTTAAAACAAAGGCTATAACAACAGACAAAGAGACCCAACAATTCCACTTCTGGATATTTACCCAAAGAAACCCAAAACACTAATTTGAAAAGACATATGCATTCCTTTGTTCATTGTGGTATTATTTATAATAGTCAAGATATGGAAGGAACATAAGTGTCCATGGATAGACAAATGGATAAAGAAGAGATAGTACAATGAAATATTACTCAGCCATAAAAAAGAAGGAAATTTTGCCATCTACAACATGGATGAACCAGAGGCTACTATGAAGTAAGTCAGAGAAAGACAAATGCCATATTATGTCATGTATGTGTGTCATCTAAAGAACAAAATAAATAAACAAAACAGAAACAAACTCATAAATACAGAGAACATTTTTATGATTGCCAGATGGGAAAGGTGTAGGGGAAATGAGTGAAAAACTGGAAGGGATTAAGATATGCAAACTGCCAGCTATAACAACAGTCACAGGGATGTAAAGTACATCATAATGAATAGAGTCAATAATATTGTAGCAACTACGTATGGTGTCAGATGTAAACTAGACCTATTGGGGTGATCACTTCATAAGTTATATAAATGCCTAATCATTATGTTGTAAAACCTGAAACTAATATAATATTATATGTCAATTGTAGTTGAAAAACAAAAAAGTTATATTAAAAAATAAAATAAAATGCTCCCTAAGCAAAAATGAAATTGCCTTAGGAATTCAGGTGTATTCTAATCTTGATATTCTACCCATTGGTGTGTCTGATGAGTCATACACTATGACCAAAATTTTAATTTATACGATAGAGTTTAGTATTTAGATGAGCTATTTCATGACACCCCTCCCACACACACACCATGTTACTTTTTTCTCCACAGCCATTTTTCCTAGATTACTTCTCCATATGCACGTTATAATCAACTTGCCTAGTTCCAAAAGAAATCCTCTGTGGGTGATTCTAGAGCACATCCTACTTAAGTATCACTGTTTTGATCATGTTATGCGTAACAGTTCTAACAACAGCAGCAGTGACAGTGATCCTAGAGTCTTCCCATTTATATTCTATGTGCCTTTGAGAGCAGGCCCCTTCTCACCCACCTGGCCTCCTTTAAAGTATAAGGCACAGGTGGTTGACAATTCTGCAGACGTACAAGGTGGTTCCAACTTTATCAAAGACACATGCAAAGAAGTCCAGCCCTGATTCCAACATTGTCCCCAGGAGCCCAGGCATCAGCATCATGTCACAGCCCTGAATATGCCTGGGGCTCCCTCTGAGCCCTCTGGGTACCCCACCCCACTCTATCCCCCTGCTCTTCCTTAGAATCAGACCAGCCCCATGAAGATTCCCCATCCACACCACCCTGACTCCAGGCTGTGGCTCTTCCCTGCTGCCCAGCTCCTTCTGGAGCTGGGGGGAGAGGACCAGGATGCCCTGGAGTTGGGGACAGAGGACCAGGATCCCCTGGAGTTGGGACAGAAGACCAAGATCCCCACCACAACCTGGGCTTCACTCTGGGCTTTACTCTGGAGGGATCTCTCACCACCAAACTGCCTGAGCCTCAGCTACCGCACCCAGAATAAAGGCGTGAGGCATTCGTGAGGGAGAGGGAAGGCCAGGCTGCCTTGGCACAGGCCCCCCTGCCTCTCCAGTCAAAGGTAACAAGGAATGGGGGGAGAATGGCATTCTGTGAGACAGGATGGGGGCTTTAGGGACTCGCCTGGGGGACTTAGAGAGAGACGGAGATCCTGCAGTGAGGGGCCACCTGGGTTGTGAGGGCCCTGCTCACCTGTTGTCCCCTGGGAGTCGGCACCCCACAGAGCAGGGCTGGTTGCTGCAGACACGGAGCTGAGGACCTGCTTTTGAGCGGGAGGAGAAGAGCTGAAGGAAGGGGGAGAGAGGGTAAGCTCTGACCTTCAGCATCACAACTTCCCAGAAAACAGCTAATGAATATGTGACTCATCAGAGGGGCCCTTCTCGGGGGGTTCTGTCTTGAGCAATAATCGGGCTAGCTGGAGAAGGTAGAGCACCCACACGGACACACACAGAGACACACACTCACACCTATGCAGACAACACACACACTGGCACTGGGACGAACACACTCACATACAGGCAAAGTCCTGTTCAGCAGGCCCCTGCCCAGGGGCTGGGGAAAGGACAGCCCATGGAGTTTCCCAGGGCTACTCAGTGCCGCGGTCCCCTAGGTCACCCATCTGGCTCCTGGTGATCCGCCAGCCGCTGGAAGACCCCAGAGGGGCCCCTCTGTCCCAGCTGGTCTCCGGGAAGCTGGTGGCTAAAGCCCAACCAGCCCTGCTTCCTCCGCCTGCCTGGTCTCAGCACTCAGCTCCTCCAGGCCTCCCTGCTCCACTAGCCTCCGACCCCTGGGGAGTGCAGGTGAGGCAGTCCCCAGCCCCGGCCCTTTCCCCCTTCTCCCTGCTCACAGGACCCCTCCCCAGGGGGACCTCCATCTCTCCTCACCCACCCCCAACAGGCCTCTGCAGCCTCGCCCCTCCGAACTTGCTGGGAGGGAGGAAGGGAGGGACCAATCACTACATAGAGCAGGTGACTCCAAGAAGGCGGCAAGAGTGGGGCCAGGTGCACCCCTGTTTGATGCCAAGTCAGCCCACCTTCACCCACGATGCAGTTCTTCACGGGGGCTGAGCGGCCACAGGTGGAGAGTGAGGCGCTGAGGGGCTCAGCAGTGGCCGGGGCGCAGCTGCAGTGGTAGAAGCTCAGCAGGCAGCAGGGACGGGGGATCTGTCGGGCAGCCCTGGAGAAGAGCCGGGCATGGGCTGCGATGGCCCCAAGGGAGCAGAAGGTGGAGAGGTGGGGGTGCAGGCACTACTTGGTCCAGCTCCTGAGGCTGGGAAGAAAAATAGGGGGACAGAGCAGCTCCGAGGTGAAAGGGGCGGTTCCAGGGGCTCAGCAAAGTCAGGCTGCCCTGACCAACACTCCTCACCCCTGGATAGGGAGCCAGGGATGCTGTTCTGTCACCAGGGGTCCCCGCCAGTCCCCAACTCCAGTGGAATCTGTGAAAACCTGCCGACTTTGCCCGCTCAGCGGTTGAGCATCAACCTATGAACCAGGAGGTCACTGGTTCGGTTTGATTCCCTCTCAGGGCACATGCAGGGGTTTCGGGCTCCCCAGTTGACTCTCTCATCATTGATGTTTCTGTCTCTCTCTCTCCCTCTCCTTTCCTGAACTCTCTGAAATCAATAAAAACTTAACAAATTTTTAATAAAAACTTGCCGATTTTTCCTCCAGGCAATGTCCATGGGCATGGGGATGGCAGACGGAGGTGAGGTGGCCCCTGGGGCCCCCAAGCCCACCCACATTGAGGTGCACGTCCACCAGGAGCCTGTGCTGAACCTGAGCTTCCTGCTGCGCTCTTCTGCCCCCGATGCCGCCCCCCACACCCCGGGCAGCAGACGGGTGCTGGTGGCCTCCTGGGTGAGCAGAGTTGCTGGTGGGGCACATGGGGTCCCTACAGCAGAAAAGGGAAGCCACCTCCTCTTGCCAAACTCACTTTGGGCCAGCCTCAATCTGCATAGGACACTGAGTCCATTTTATCTAATGCCTGGAAACCCGGTTCCCCTGGGCCCCGTTTCTGGCTTCCTTCCTCACTCACTGCCCGTCTCAGTGAAAGCTGTAGGTAGGATATACTGTGGGCTACAGAAGTGACCACGGAAGTCCCAGCCGGTGGAACCCTGAGTCCAGGCTCTCCCCTGGGCCAGACGCAGCGTGGCTGCCTCCCTTCCCCTCTCCTCCCTTCTCCCTCCCCCTACCTCTCTTTTTCTCCCTCTCCCCTTCTTCTTTATGGGGTTCTCACAATCAATGCCTGGAGCAGCAGGGCCTTAAAGCTCCCCTGGGACTTGGGGGCCAGGTTCTCAGGCTCTTAGTCTTTCAGGTGGTGCAGATCGTGCTGGGGCTGCTGAGCGGGTTACTAGGAGGATTGGGCTGCATCACATTCTACAATAACTGGTCTCTCACGAGGGTGTGTGCCACTGGCATCTGGACAGGAGTTGTGGTGAGTGGGGCCAGAGGATGGTGGGCGGGCTAGTGGACGTGTCAGAAGGGACTGCCCGTCACTATCAACACTATCCCCGTCAATGTGGTACTGTGGAATGTTACCCACGGAAAAGACCCCAAGTCCCCCAGGCAGTTCCCTGTTTTCACAGATGAGAAAAGAGCTGAGGGGAGTAGTGATATAAATCAGCTCTTCTGGCTTCTTGCCCAGGCATCTCCCACCAAGCCAGCAAATATCAACTAAGGATCTAGGCCCTGGCTCATCTCCAGACCCTTGGCTTGCATAGAGATGGGGCAGATAGAGCGCCCTGGAGAGTGTAGACTCCCCACGGAAGGGGCACCTCCTGGTCCTTTCGCACTGCCCTCTGCAGGTCCTTGGGTGTCACTGAAGGTCAACTGTTCATGTCAGCAGGCCGTGGGGATGCGATCTGTAGTAGCAGCTGGGTGGGCAGGTCATGGCAGGATTGAGGGCCTTTGGCAAACTCACACACACTCACAGAATAAAGCGAAACATCGCTATTGAAAGCGCGGCCAAAGTCGTCATCTGCCCACTGGGATGGACTTCCTGTCCTGTGAGCCCTGGAGCAGAGCTATGCGGGCACAGGCACCTCCCTGAGGCAGCCCGGACTCATCTTGAACTGAGCACTTCTCCAACAGCCCAGGTCTTCTACCTGAGCTCTCAGGAAGCACCTGGTGTGGCTTAAAGAGGAAGGCTTTGGAGAAGGGAGAGAGGGCTCACACCTGGCTTGACCACGAGTGCTTTTCTTTTTTTTTTCTTTTTTAAATATCTTTATTGATTTCAGAGAGGGGAAAGGAGAGAGAGAGAGAGAGAGAGATGGAAACATCAATGATGCGAGAGCCATTGATCGGCTGCCTCCTGCACGCCCCCAACTGGGGATCGAGCCTGCAACCCGGGCACGTGCCCTGACCAGGAATCGAACCCCGATCGCCTGGATCTTAGGTCGACGCTCAACCGCTGAGTCACGCCTGGCCGGGCAACCATGAATGCTTTTTGATGTCACTAAAACAGAGGGTCCTTCAGCCGGAGGAGTCTGGTCAAGGCCTCCACACCTTCGCCGCTGACTTCCCACTCACAACAAGCTTAGCTCAAAACTCCCAGTCCACCTATTCTGGGGCAGGGCCGGCTCTACCTGTGAGAGGTACAGAGGGGAAGAAAAGCAGGCTGCTGGAAGGGCTTACGTGTCCTGTGCCAACCTGCCGCCTCTCCTGTCTCTCCCCAGGCTGTGCTGGCTGGAGTCGCTGTCTTCATTTATGAGAAAAGGGGTGGCACCTGCTGGGTGAGTTCGGGGAACTGCAGACACTGGAGGCCACCCCAAGCCTCCCTCCCCATTGCACACCCTTCCCCTGGGCTGGTCTCCAAGGGAGACTGAATCACAAGGTCTCTCTGTCTCCACCCCAGGCCCTGCTGAGGACCCTGCTAGCCCTGGCAGCTTTCGCCACAGCCATTGCAGCCATCTCCACTGGGGCATATTATTTCCAGGGAGTATTCTACGAGTTCATGGATGAACTCTGTGATAGCACCCCCTCCTGGAGGACCCCCCTGCCCACCAGCACTCCCGAAGAAGCCAGCAGGCTGCACCGGTGCCTGTCCTACCTGCACATGGCCACAGTAAGTGGGCAAGGGAGGGGATCAGCGCAGACAGTGCGCAACACAAAGACTGTCCATCCAGAACAGTGTCACCTAGCCCTGGCCGGTGTTGCTCAGTGGTTAGAGTGACGGCCTGCAGGGTGCATGCAGAAGGCAACCAGTCAATGTGTCTCTCTCGCATGGGAGTCTCTCTCTCTCCCCGCCTCCATCCCTCCCTTCTATTCTCTCTAAAAACCAATGGGGGGAAAAATATCCTTAGGTAAGGATTAATTAAAAAACAACAAGAGTGTCACCTGTTCTGCACCAAGCCTGACTGCTGTCACCACAGATGGTGGCATTGAACAAACAGAAACAGTTCCTGTGCTTGTGGGTGTCACAGCCTGGTAGGAAACACAAACACTGAAATAACAATAAGTGAGTCAGCATTGCCAGTGTGCGCAGTGCTGGTGCAAAGGCAAAAGTTAGGGGCGGCTGGAAAACCAAATCATAGCCCAGGCCTGAGGATGCTGTAGCCCAAGGAGAGGGGCCTCTGGGTGCACTTTTTTTCTTTTTTAAAAATATGTCTTTATTGATTTCAGAGAGAGGAAAGGAGAGGGAGAGAGAGAGAGATAGAAACATCAATGATGAGAGACTCACTGATCAGCTGCCTCCTGCACGCCCCCTACTGGGGATCGAGCCCACAACCCTGGCATGTGCTCTGACCGGGAATCGAACCCCAATCTCCTGGACAATAGGTTGCTGCTCAACTGCTGAAACATGCCAGCCAGGCCTGGGTGCCCGTCTTGCACACAGCGCTCCTTCCTCAGCCCCCTCCAGCAGCTACAGACTTGAGGATGACAGGGAGGCTGGGACGAGGCACACACAGCAATGGCCACTCTGGCGCCTGCAGCTTTGCTCCTCTGTCCCCAGGCCCTGTCCCTGGGCCTTCAGGCCATGCTGTTGAGTATCTGGGTTCTGCTGCTTCTAACATCTCTGGCCCCCCTGTTTCTGTACTGCTGGAGAAGACGCCAACCCAAGGAGGTGAGTCCCCAACATATGTGTCTGAGTGTTTGGGGCAGCAGGCTATGGGGCTAGGAGACAGGGATGGAGAGTGGATGGCTGGGCAGGAGAAGAGGCCCCATGACAGTGAGTTCCAAGGGACATTGCGCCTGTCTTTCTACCCCAGTGGTCAGTCAGCCCAGAGAGCTCCCTGTTCCCAGGCCAAAGAAAGACCCCAGGAATCAGGGAAGTCTGTATCCACGCTGGGGCCTTGGAGCTCTTTGCATTACATACCGTGAGGAGGATGCTGGACCTGGTTGGCTCCAGACCTAAGCTGCCTTAGAGGAGAGAATCTGTGCTTCCCCTCCCTCGCTGGGCTGGCTCACCTCCTCCCCCTCCTCCCTCAGGAAAAAGACCAAAAGCCACTGCTGGGAGTGAGTCCAATCTAGCCCTGCCTCTCCTGAGTACTCACGCCTGGAGCTCCCCTTCTGCACCGGTTGTCTCTGCATCTGACTCCTGGAAGAAGAGCCAGCCAAGGGACATGAGACCCTCCAGTGGCCTCTGCTGTCCTCCCCCACAGCCCCGGCCAAGACCATGGCCCCGATCCACCAACCATCACAGCGCCTCTTGCCCATGTAACTGCACGCCTTCACCACCCTGCCCTGCTTCATGTCCCCTCTTGAGCAGTGACGATAATAAACTCCTATGTTGTTGCTCCCAGCTTCCTGCTTAGTTATTCCAAGGATTTGCCCTTTACCTCCTCTCGGCGTCTAGAGTTGCTGGCCCACTGTATTTTTAATAAAATTCATCCATGTACTATTGACAAGAAACACCTCTAAAACAAGGATACAGGAAGACTGAGACTAAGAGGATGGAAAATACATATCGCAATTAAATCGGTACTGCTCTATTAAAATCAAACTTTAAGGCAAAGGGTATTCCCAGAGATCAACTAGTCAGTCTTGCAGTCATTCTCTCCGCCTTCTCCCAATTCATTTGTTCCCTCCTGGGACCAGACCGCATCCCTCCAGCTGGAGGAGCCGGCTTGTGGCCAGGAGGGTAAGTTAGAGCCACGGGCTGGAGATGGTGCAAGAGGAAGACCCAAGGAGCTGGCCTTCAACTACACAACAGAAGGTGCCCACCCTTTGGTTTACCTTTGAATATCTTTATATGAGGAAAAGTCATTCCTTGCTGATTTTTTTAAAAAGAAAAAATTTTTTAACCATTTACGATAGCAACAAAACTATAGGAATAGAATTAACTAGGAATAAATCTAGACAATCAAAACATTAATAAAACCATAAGACATTATTGAAAAATGTTTATGAATACCTAAATAAATGGAAATATATACACTTGTCCAGAGAAGGGAGGACTTGGTTTTGTAAAGATAGCATCACGCTCCAAAATGATGCCTAAATCCAGCCTTGGCGAGTATGCTCTGTGGTTAGAGCATTGGTCTGTGTACCAAAGAGTCGCTGGTTCGATTCCTGGTCAAGGGCACGTACCTCAGTTGGGGGTTCCCTCCCCATCCCCAGTCTGGGCACGTGCAGGAGGCAGCCAGTCAATGTGTCTCTCTCTCACATGGATGTTTCTCTCTCTCTCCCCCTCCCTCCCTCCTACTCTCCCTGAAGAGCAATGGAAAAATCCTCAGGTAAGGATTAACCAAACAAAATGAAACAAAAATGATGCTTAAATCCAATGTGATTCCAATCAAAATCTCAACAGAGTTGTCTTAGTACTTGATTAGCCAATTCTCAGATTGATACAGAATCAAAATACCAAGAACAGCAACCCTCCGTTTGTTCTCTGTATCCATGAGTCTGTTTCTGTTTTGTTCGCTTATTTTGTTCTTTAGATTTCACATATAAGTGAAATTATATGGTATTTGCTTTCTCTGTCTGACCTATTTCACTTAGCGTAATACCCTCTAGATCTGTCCACGTTGTGCAAATGGTAAGATTTCATTCTTTTTATGGCCAAGTAATATTCCACTGTTTATAGGTAGCACCTCTTCTTTATCCATTCATTTGTTGATGGGCACTTGGGTTGCTTCCAAATCTTGGCTATTGTAAATAATGTCACAATGAACATAGGGGTGCATATATATTTTCGATCAACCAGTACGGCCAAAGAGAAGGCCAGAGAGATGGCCAGGTTCTTATTTTACTTGAATTGTCTGGACCCTGTGCCTCTGGATCATAGCTCCGCTTGGCTGTGCTGAGGACATTCCCACCACTTCCACAGAAGTGTTCTGCTTTGGTCTATTCTAGTCGAGTGAGTCAGGGGACCCACTGACCATATTCCTTCTGGTCCACAACATAGCCTTGCTATTGCCTCAAATACGGGCAGCCGTTGTTTCCCTAGACTTGCTAGGGACTCTCCACTGACTTCTCTTCCCCAGAAAGGGTTCTTATAACTCACAGGAAAGGAGTTATCTTCATTTACGAACACCAGTCTCACCATTCCTGACACACCTAGCTTCATATGTGCCCCTCAGTTCTTCAAAATCAAAAACTGTATTACTTACATCTACATCTCTCAAAACTAAAAAGAAAAGTGGGGAGATGAGTAAGATGACAGTGAGGACAGCAGTGTCCTCCTGGCAGGGGTGAAAAGGGGGGGAGAAGATGCATGTATAGAGAACTGCATAGAGGTCTAGAATTGGGGTCAACTTTTCTTCTTAACCTACATGGTCTAACGCCATACCACCCTGACCGCCTCTGATCTCATCTTCTTAACTTAGATGGTGGACATGTTGTTATTATTATTAAAACTGCACGTATATATTTTATACCCTCTTCTGTATGGATGATATAATCACAATAATAAATACACATTAGGACTCCCTATTGTTAACTTCAAAGTTATAAAAACAATGTCTAGTGCAAAAAATCATTAATCATATCACTTAATGTAAAACTAATCCACGATCATCAAATGCATCAAACAGACTTTTTCCTTTGGGGTGCCCAACCTGAAAAAGGGTCAGTAGGAGACAGCTGCTTGGGGGTGACAGTCAGAGTAAGGCTAACTATAATCCCCCCAAAACCTGCCGAGATCCAGGCAGAAAACAGATGGCACACTCAAAGAGCTCAAAATGGGTCATTCGAGAAGTGTTTGATAAAGGGACTATTTACAAAGATGCCAGCAAAGTGTAGGGAAAACTGGAAGTGACAATACCACACCAGGGTTGGTGACCAAGGTCGGTCAGAGAGGGTGTCATGACCCCTAGGGCCAAAAGATGAGGAAAGGGAGCAATTGCTCTGTTCCAGCCTAAGACAGAGAAAACTGATGGAGGTGGTGCTTGACTTGAGCTGTCAGCTTCCTGGAGAAACACAGCCAGCCTGACATGACCTGGCAGTGAGGGGCCCTGGTGAATAAATGCCCAAACTACTCTCCTCTGAGGTCTTGCTAGTGTTCCCTATTGGCCAAACTGAACAGGAAATCATAGGACAAGAGAGCCCAATGATGTGATCCATGTAAGACTCCCCTTTGAGGCACAGAGAAGGCCGGAGAAAGGTGGAAAGAACATCTGGAGAGGCACGGGAAAGCTATCTGGAACAATTACTCTTGTTTGTGTATGAAGAAATACGGTTGAAAACTTCACAAAGACATAAACCTACAAACTCAAGTAGCTCGGTGAACCCAAAGGAGACTAACACAACAAAGTATAAGCCCAGACATATCATAATCAAACTGCTGAAGACTAAAGGAAAAAACCTTGAAAACAGCTAAATACAAATGACCCGTAGAGAAGAGTGATCCAAATTGGAAAGCGTTACCGCCAGAGGAAGTGGCAGAATGGTGTTTTTGTTTTAGTTATTAAGTAGAGGCACCATGGTCTACAGCAACCTTTCACTGTGGCTACAAAAGTAGTACTAGCCCTGGCCAGTGGGGCTCATTGGTTAGAGCGTCAGCCCAAGCACGGAAGGGCTGTGGGTTTGATTCCTGGTCAAGGGCACATACCTGGGCTGCAGGTTTGATCCCTGGCCTTGGTCAGGGTGTGTTCAGGAGGCAACCAATCAATGTGTCTCTCTCACATCGATGTTTCTCTTTCTCTCTCTCCCCCCTTCCACTCTCTCTGAAAATCAATGGAAAAAATATCCCCAAATGAAGATTAAAAAATTAAAATAAAATAATAAAATAAAATTTAAAAATATAAAAGGAGTACTAGCACAGGGAGTTTTTTTGAGGGTGATGATACTGTTCTTTACCCTGACCATGGTATGGTGTTGGTTACACAAATCCATACATGTATTAAAACTCACAGAACTGTACACAGGAGGGGGAAAGGTCAGTTTTACTATAACGATAATTTATCATGATACCAAGATAATGATAAAGAGATGAATTTGGAATTATTTGTCTGTGTCAACATCTCAAAGTTGTCTCTAGATTTGTATATTCATTTTTCCCATAGCAAACAGGAACCTCAGGCCTGTGGCTTTAGCTGTCTTTGCAAAGAATCAGATAGGTTTTGAATAAAAAAATAAATTAAAAAAATTAAAAAGCAGGGGTGGTGTGTGGTGTGACATCTGGTTTCCCACAGAAGAGGAAACCAAAGATCGAGGACTCTGAGGCTGCTGGGAGGGCAGGAGGGTCACTGAGGGAGACAGCGCTGGGAGGGGCTGGAGGAGAGGCTTGTGAAGGGTCAGGCAGAGGGAATGGCATCTCTAAGAGACTCAGATCCACCAGAAGCAATCAACAAAGGAGGCTGCCAGATCCTCGCAGTGAGAGGCCACTTCCAAGCAGACAGGCAAACTGAGTTGACATTCATTTATCTAAATGAAGAATGGAAAGAATTTACATCCAGTCAGGCCATAAAAGGACAGATTTAGAAACACTGTAGGAGAAAAATTCATGCCGTCTTTAGTTTGAGGGAGAAAGTTATTCACCGGGACCTTTATTTCAGTGTTAGCCTGCAAATAGTTCTTATGACAATATGTTTGGGGGTTTTTTAAATCGTCACTCAAGGATATGTTTTGAGAGGATGGGGGGGAGAGAAACATCAGTGCAAGAAAGATGCATCCTGTGAGTGCGCGGATGGGATCAAACCTGCAACCTAGGCATGTGCCCTAACAGAGAATCAAGCTCACAACTTTTTGGTGTATGGGACAACGCTCCAACCAACTGAGCCACCCTGCCAAGGGGATAATATGTGTTTTTTTAGCTTAATGATTAATGAGTGCAAAGACGGAATTGAAACAAGACTGAGTTTAAATTCCAATGCCTGGTGCCACGTCTGAATTTCCCCTTATAAGCCATGTAGATGTGAGCGACACCGCCACCTACTGGCCACAAAGAGTTTTCTTCAGGAGAAACTGGAAAAGTCAAAATTAATTTTTTCACACAATTCTTTGAAAATTATTAATGTGTTATTAAATAAATATCTACTAATACCGCCTACGTGTCAGGCACTGTGGCTACCCCCACATCACCCACTCTGCTTGAGCCAATTGGTCAGAATCATGCTATTCCATCC